GGAAGTAGATACAACTTTAAATCCTCAGCTGGTATAGCTTACAACAACCCTCAATCACACCACAACACTATAGGAGTTGCATTCTCTTCTTGAATCAACTTTTGTGTTCAAGTTGGTGTGAATACTTGTATTTCGCCTTGAAACTCTAATATATATGAAGGGAGGACTAATTCTTATATTAAACATAAATGAAAACACGAAATCTGAAGTTACTTACCTTTGAAGAACCCTCCAAAACAGCCACAAGATGAAGAACTACGATCTAGCAAGCACCACGGGATTTCTAGCGTTGGATTCATGTTTTTATCTTAGGTTTTCCCCCTAGAATCATAAAGGAACCCTTGGAGAGAATTTAGGAGGTTTAGGAACTGTTTTGGATGAGAAAATGAGTTAAAAAGACATATAAATGACTTAAATACAAGCTGAAGTTTAAACCGACTTTGTGGGTCCCATGGGAGTTGCTTGCGCAGTCTCTCAAAAATGCGAATATCTCTCTAGTCCGATGTCATATCGATGAATGGTTTAATGCGTTAGAAACTAGACTCGTAGATATTCAATTTGATATGTAGATCATGCCTTGATTCCAAGTATATTTGGAGAAATGTGCTGCTACATTTGATCTAAATTTCAGAACATTATGAATGCAACTTGTGATGACCTTTGCCAACTTTTGTTCCACAACTCGCTTGACTTAAAAACATAACACATGGCTATCACACGACTAAAATAAATCATAAATTAAACTCCTTATCATGTTAATCACCCTAGTCTCACCCCAAAAGTATATGTTATAACATTCCAAACTTGTCGACTTTCGACGAAACTTATTTTCTTCAATTCGTTTAGCGTCTAAGCTTTCAAACCCTTTTGGTACTTGTTATTCATGATCATAAAGATTTGTAACCTTCAATATAACATGATGAACTTACGTTATGTACTTTCAATGACAATCTCTTTTTTTAGCGTACATCAATTGACTTATGATGTACTCTCACGTACAAAAACATGGGATGTAACAAAAGACCTTATATAACACACGAAATGTATTGATCAAAAAGGTTTAGTGACACACCTACTTGTCACCTATGCGGTCTGTGCAGGCTCGCAAAATTGCAAATATCTCTATACTCATATGTCGTATCGATGAACGATTTAATGCTTTAGAAAATAGAATCGTAAATTTTTAATTTGGAAGGTAGATCAGCCCCTAATTCCAAGTATATTGGGAGAAAAACTCAGCTACACTTTACCTAAATTTCAGCATATTTATGAATGTAACTTGTGATGATCTTTGCCAACTTTTGTTCCACAACTCATTTGACTTCAAAACATAACACACGATATCATAAGACAAAAATAACTCATAACATAACCTCCTTAGCATTTTGAGAACCCTAGTCTCACTCCAAAGGTACATGTTATAACATTCCCAACTTGTCGACTTTCGATGAAACTTATTTTCTTCAATTGGTTTAGCTTCTAAGCTTTCCAACCCTCTTGGTACTTGCAGTCCATGATCTTAAGTATTTGTAACCTCCAAGTTAACATGATTAACTTTCTTTATGTACTTTTAAAGATTATCTCATTTCAAAGCTTACATCAATTGACTTACAGCGTACTCTCACATACGGAACTATGGGGTGTAACATCATCCCCCCCCCTTTGCATCCTCGAATGTTGACTGATGCGCTTATCAGTTTCATACCCTATAGCTCTTACGAATAATTTAGTAGTGTCCTTGACATCTAGGCAACTGTTCTGTGAATAAATCCGAAGGCCAAGTAATTCCCCCCTTTAGGCCTCTTTTTCACACCACGACTTGTTGTCAGAATTCTTCCAATCTTGTAACCGTTGTGACCTTCTGTCATGCAGCCTGTACGAATTTGTCCTTGTTTGTGCGCCTATGTGACTCTTCTGTCCTTTTTCCTCCAGCTTTTATCCAATCTCTAGGCCTCACTTTGGGAACATATACGGAATTATGACAAGTTGTTCCTCTCTCGGTACTTTGTCGAACTTACGACTGTTGCTATATCTTTTTTTGTAGCTTTGTATATCTATCCTTATGGTTTTACTACATCTAGGTAGGTTATACTATACCATAATACTTATTTCGGTTTATTAGGACCGAGGTTTTCTACCCAACTCCAGGTTACTCTCTCGCTGCTTATCTTATACATATAAATCTAAGTCCTTTAGTTCTTCCTCATTACTGTTCATCTTAAGAATGACAGCCTAATATCATCTGATACTTTGAAATTTTTATCAAACCTATTGTTGATTCACCTTATGTTGATCTATAATCTACCATTGATAACTTGAAACCTCTTATGTAATACGTTGTCGTTAGGGCTCACGTCACATAGGGGAACATCTGAAGTTATTTTCTTGATCTACCTAGGGACGATACAATACTTCACTAATCGTATTTCATAGCATCCCAACATAGTTCATCTTATGGGGGTATTCTAATCCTGTGCAATTCATGAAATCCCCTTTTCTCTAAATCATTACTCAATCGAAGGCCTAAATGTCATCCACTTATCATTTATCACAATTACACCCTTATTCTACTACCAGGGCAGCATTCCATCTCTTCTGAATTCTCCTAGTCTTAAACTCCGCTGAGTTCACTCATGCTATACTGAGCTTTTTATAACTTTATGTAAAACATCAGCTCTCTTGTTGTGATGGGTTTAATCCTGAGGACTTACCTATTCTCGTCACCTTCTCACTCACCTTTTCTTATCCTTACTCCTATCTAGCTAAAACCTTGTCACTCTACCATACTTTAGCTTGTGACCTACATATATCTATTTATACTATTTGCAACCTTCCTTTAACTTGATAGCACCATATATTTCCTTATGTTATTCTGGAACCTCAAGCGAGACATCATATTATCTCTAACTCTTATTTTCTCTCTTAACTAGACCTCTTTGTATCTGGAAACCACATGCAGGAAAATATGCCACTAACGACACCACTATTATTTCTTGATACAGAATTACGATGCTTCCAGCCCTCTATCTGATATCTGGATTATTCGTAACCTTTTGTACTCGGGCATCTCGTACCTTCTTCACATCTACCTTAATTACCTTTAAATCTTGCATCATATCTTCTATCTCTTTCATACCCTCCCTTCCACATAGGTGGAATTTACATCCACACCTTAAAACTCTACTATAATACTTGCACATCATGTGCATACACAATCTTACGAAAGCTTCATAATGACTTTTTATGAGGTTGGTACTGTTCTAACTAGATTTATCATAGAGCCGTCATAGAATATGACTATTGTACTATCTCTTTTGTACCTCTGATATTTAGAGTGATTCTACAATGTTCAGAATCACAATTTCTATACTCATCGAGGTCTATTAATCATACTCCTAATTCATTTAGCTGATGTAACTCTTTAGTTCCTCTTCTATCTCAGCCTTTAAGTAGGCTCACTTTATCTTATGTTCTGCGCCTTAGGGTATTAGTTATTAATTAGGCCCCTCATGGACGCTAAGGAACATCCATGATATAACCTTTTAGCAATTCAGGCTTTTGTCTGTGACTTGGACTCAATGTTTTCTCTTCACTTATGTTGGAGCCTCCTATAGCTGTATCATTGTCAACATATATGCTGCATAGATAACACTCCTAAATCTTAAGTGTGTTCATAACGTAACTAACTCTGGGTCATTGATTGAATAATTCCTTTTGCGCCTTCTCAACCTTCTTTAAAAAGTTAGCAATTACTTTTTCTGGTCGTTCTGCCACTTGTTGCATGAATACTTGACTTATCTTAGTGCCCACGCCCATTGAAATTCATGCAACTCATATGATATCGAATATTACTGTGGATTTTACTTACTGTTCCTTAGTCATGATAGGTGCACTTTCTTATAGAGTGCATACAATATTATAGTGAGACTGTTGTTACAAGACCATTTCTTCTTTAGGTCACTATGCTTATGTTGAAGCCTTCTTCTTATTTCCTCAGCTAGTCTTTCGTTGCAGAGCTTAGGGAAGACCCTCTGACTCTTGTAAAGCTGCGAGCTTATTACATTTTATACCCCACAGAATTTGTGATGTTCTTACTAGCATATCATTATCCTTAGTTACTTACCTTCGCGCTCTTGTGCTTGTAGGGTTGCTTCTAATTGAAATTTCAGTTGTCTCCCTAGAGGCACTCTCTTTTATTTCCATAACACTTATATTGTACCTTCTACTACCCCAACTCCTATCTGAATATTTCTCAAGGATTACGATGTCGTATCTGTGAGACTGAATTTCCCTAGGTTTCACTATATTTATCTTGCATGATCTACTAATTTATCTAAGACATGTTGTCTAGCCATAACCAAGCTCTTCCTAAATCAACTACTAACTACTGGTCAGTCTAAGCTCATATTTATAGTCTACGTAACCTCTCTTGGGTTATGTCTTTTGCCTTAACTTACCTTTCGCACTGGTTCCTAATGTATCAAGTGCCCATTCACACTTATTATCAATACATCCTGGCCGGGAACCCTTACTGCCTCTCCCCGGAGTCATGCTTACATAATATTCTGGAATCATAGTATATATGTATGATCTGTATAAATTCAATCTCACTCCTTAACTACTAGAAATTTGGGCTACGGCAACGATTCTAATGGCAACGGTTTTATAACCGTTGCTATAGAGTTCTATTGCAACGGTTTTAACAGTTGAGTGAGGCTATCGGTACTACGGGTACAGTTTAGCACCTGAACCGTTGCAGTAGTCCAGTAACCGTCACAATAGAGGCTTCTATGGCAACGTTTTAAACAACCGTGACGGGAAGTCAATCTGTGGTAACGGTTAAATAACGTTTTGCTTTATTGCAACGGGTTTGAATTCCCTCTTTTATTTTTTCCCAAATTTTGGACGACACCCGCCTAATTAAAAAAGGCCCACTTTAATTAGTATTCCATTAATTTTTTATTCAATAAAATAAGAGTATACCTAATGGATCTCTAGACTTAAAAGTACCCCCATTCGCATATACTCTGCCACTCTCTGCCTCTCTCCCAATCCACCGTCGACGTCTCTGTTACCGGAAACTACGAGGAGAAGACCAAACCATCATCGGCGACACCGGCAGTGTTAGCGCCGGAAAATCCCTTTAAGGCTAATATTAGTCTTGTTAATCCTCTAGGGTTTCTCAAAATGGTGTTCGAGTTCATTGGCGGTGAATCGAAGTTGTTCGTCTGGTGAAAGATGAGCAATAACCATCGGCGGGCTCTTCAATGGGTTTCCAAGTAGTAATTGGCGTTCCCTCGTTATTTTCTGCCTACACTACTTGGAGTACTACTTTGGCATATTTGTCGGTCTCTTCTACTTCACCACCCCCAACTACAAGGCTTCCCCCACTTCTATTTTCTAGCTTTCCATCACCCCCATCTCAGGTTTGAATCTGTTTCCTCTCTATTTGTTTATGTGTGCAAAAGTAGGTAAATTGTCTACTTTTCTGCTTGATGGACCCTTCTATATCAAAATCTATGTGCCAAGATTTTTGAAGAAACACAATTCTGAGGGTAAAGTTTAGACTTTGTTTATCTTTAGATGACAACTAATTGACTGAAATGTGAACTAAAGAGAAATTATTGGATTGGTATTAGCAATACTTGTTTGTCGTAGATGAATTTTTTGCTTGATAGATCCGTCAAAATCAAAGTATTTCTTGCAGAATTATAGTACAGATGTTAAAGTTGGGTGGTTCTTTTAACCGTTGCCTTTAGATGACAATTGAGGAAAATGATTTGATGGGTATTTTCATACTGTTTGTTCCATTTGTGTTTCCTCTGGAATTTACTCATATCGGTGTCAAAGATAGTGTTTTTCATTTTTTATCACTTGATTTAACTGTGAAACTTGCAGCTTCAGCAGTAATTATAAATTTTATTACTATTTGGAAACCGATTGAAGAGCCCTCATCTTTCCTGTTCAACTTATTAATTTCTCTATTTCTTAAAGTTGTGAGTATTTTCTGCTGAAGCTTTGTTCTGATTACTTAGAAATCTGTTAGGGTTCTTTTGCACTATAACTCATCCCTGTGAAGGTCGCATGTTTTTCCCCTTTGAAAAAGCACGAGGTAAATCTCCAGTTAAAGATATGGAGCTGTTTATTTTTGTAATCGTTCTGAAACTTGTCACTTAAAATGCGGTGAAACTACGTAAGAGTGCCTTCTGAGCTTATATGTTGCTACAAGGTAGGTGAAAGTTGTATCATATTTCTGCCACCAAATTAAGATTATAGGTAACAAATTTTATGTACTAGAATATCCTTTTTCAAGGATAGTTTGGCCATGTTTTATTTTGTTTATTTGGATAGAATGGATATTCCTGTTGGAAACGGCAAAAGGAATTGCGGCCACCTGTTTTTAGAACTTGTGTCTTCAATTCTCTGGCTTGCAATAGTGGTTTAACTACTTCTAGTGCATATACTTCTGAATTTAATAGTTTATTAACTGTTATAAAAGTATAACGAATTCAGTGCTAAGAACCTTAAAGGCCGAATTCGTCAAGGTTAAATCATTGATCCGCTTGTCTGTCTTCCATTTTATTTGTAAACTTTCCAATTGTTGCTTCTATTCCTTTTGATTTGCCTGATTAACACTGATTTATCTTTTAGATGTCTGAAGTTGGTCTTATCCCATGGATCTATCGATATATTTGTTGATGTTGATATTCAGTTTTTTAAATTTGGCTTGGATCATGAAAGGTAATAGTAGCATCTAGCAAAATAGTTGGATCAATTACTTCAATTTCACATTTTAAAACAATTTGGTTGTAGCTTAGATATAGTTTACATTTGGATTAAGTGTTGAATTTTATTTAATATCTAGTAATTTTGTTACCAAATCACTCTAGTAATACGTTAACAACCCCTATGCATGACCAAGTAATAAACCAAGATTTCTACTTGTAGTCACCAATACCAAACCAATAATCAGACAACAATGACCTAGAATGCAATGCATTTTTTGTTCTTTAGTTCATTAGATTATTTTTCTTATTATAGTGCTTGTTTATGTATTACTGTAAAGACTATGCGCGTTGACATGAATTATTTGAATTGATAACTTTTAGGTATTAATTCAACATGAGTAAATTAGTTTGGCGTTGAGAAAGTGTATAAAAGGTCAGACAAATATGTTAAAAGCTAGAGTAAAATAAAAATGAAGGTCGTGTTAAAGAAGAACGTCTTGAGTCTTCAAATCAGAAATATAGTAGTGCAACACCTTTCTTGTTATTCTTTCTAAAAGCAATATGCTATATTTTTTTGGTAATAATTATATAGTATCGGGGTGTAATTTTGCTTACCTTGTATATTAATTTTGGAACTTTGCTTACCTTGAATATGTGGAAATATATCAAGGTATGAAGTTTCCAATGTTCAATAAACGTGGATGATATTATTTTTTTACACTAACCTAATTGAACTAAATTTGTAGGAAAAATATGACATTCCTGACGGGATGAAAACATGGGCTTTTTGAATCAATTGGTACTGCTTGGAGAAAGTATAAGAATCAACTGAAGAAAAACCACTTTAAAGCCTATGAGAATGACGAGCTTCGAATGGAGAATAGGCCGATAGATGTTCCGGAGGCTCACTTTAAGGATCTTATTAAATATTGGAACTCCGATTCCCACAAGGTAATTACATTTATTCTTTCTGTGACCTATTCTCTGCTTGTTTCTGTTTTGGCCATTTTCCATGAGAGGAACGATATCATATAAATTGGTTATCATTAAATATTGTTCGGGTATTACTGTTTATTGTTATAAGAATAAGTGCTCAACCATTGAATATTAAAACATGAAATTTTAGGTCTACTGGATGTGGACGAGAAGTTGGAGGTTCCTCTCCATGAGTGAAAAAGTGAGAAAAATCACTATGTGATTATACTTGTGGGGAACTAATATAATCGTGTGACTAACTGCATTGCTCATAGATATGGTAATATATGTTTTCTGCATATATTCTGCAAAGTTGAAATAGGAGAACTTTTTGTGGATCCACAATGCACGCTTTTTTATCTTGTTCTTGTTTTCCTCTCAAACTCATTCTTCTGATATGGATGGAATGAAGATGCAGAATTACTTTAAAACAAAGTAATTCATGGTATAACATATAATTGCGATTGAATTTGTACGTTCTTTGTTATACACTTGACATAATGCTAAAGAAGCTGGTATATTATCTATTTTACTAACTCTCACTAATAATAGACTAGGCTCAGTGTATTATTCAGTGCTAAAGAAACTGTTGAATGAAAATTCTTAGATTGCTATGTGTATTACTTAGTGTGTGTGTGGTTGCATTTGTTTGAAGCCTCATGTTAATGTTACTGGCCTGCCACTACTTACATGTATGCTTTCAAAGCTAGCACAGAGGAAACTGAAATATAAAGAGAAAATGCAAATGCTTCAGTATCACTAATAGTTGTTTCTCTAATGTGTTACCTTTAATCATCTGAACTTACTGTAGTGCTGTGTTTCTACAGTTAGAGTGTTACAGTATGTATTACACAAATACTTCACCTGTATATTTGTGAATATTTTGCACATTATTTAGGATAATATATGTAATAGAAAAGTGATTATGGAGCTTTTCTTGTACTTATTTAATCTCTTGAAACTGATCAAGTTTAATGTCATGTTCTTTATTTTAGTATTCTTAGACTGGATTCTCTTGAAGGTTATGACTTTATTTATACTCTTTCTTAGGTGTTGTAGATGAAGAAATTTAGGACGGAGGCAGTGAAGATCTAGACCTTACTCAAGAAGAATTTTGAATTGTTGTAGATGCATGGTCTAGCTAAGAATGTTTGTTTTCAACATTTCGAAACTTTCTTTAACTCTTAAAATGTATAACTTATGTATTCAGGGAAAAATGGTTTACTTTATGGATATTATTAGGTCGTTGGACAATTTGGATTATGAGCAGTTTCATTTTGATATTTATATAAATTTTATTGTTGTACTATTTATTATATATATAAATATTTATTTACAATTAGGGCTATAATTTTAATTGAATGAAACCGTTACTATATTTTACCAAAACCGTTGCAATAGATATCAAATGGCTTTCCAATAGAAAATGTAAGCGGTTGCAATAGGACCGGCAAATTGTCCCAAAATGTTCTACAAACCGTTGCAATAGGTAGTTCAAACCGATGCCATAGCTATTTCTTGATCATCATAGTCCAAAAATATCTGTAGCAATAGAATAAAATCGTTGCAATAGCTTAATGAAATCGTTATCATATCAATAAATAACCGTGGCAATAGATTACATAACCGTTGTGTTAAATGATATGGTAACGGTTATAAACCATTGCATTAAATGTTATGGTAACAGATTTCAACCGTTGCAGTTGGAAAGAATAGTCGTTCCAACAGGGAGAGGAAAACCCGTTGCGATAGACTACACTATAGCAACGGTTATGTAAGCCGCTACAAGAACCATCCCTGTAGCTCTATTGGCACGCAGGCTGATGTGACGGGTGCTAAACCGTTGCAATAGCTCTATGGCAACGGTTTACCTAGCTGTTGCAACGGTTTCCTGCCGTTGCCATAGGCCTATTTTCCAGTAGTGCTTTCGCCTTTTCACCGCATTCTTCATTTATTATTGCATAGTTACCTGAACCACTTAACTTCAACTTAATACCATATCATTCCATCTTTCCCTTTAGGGGAGTACTAACATTTAATGCTATGAAGATTCACCTACAAATAATTTACCTCTTCATCTTCGACGTCTTTTCACGTCTTCACCGACTCTTACTCGCCTTGACGTATCCCTTCTATACCAGGGATAACTGACTTCATTACGCACGAGGGTGACACCTAGTGTAATTGGCACACTTAGTACCTTAAGCTTAAGTCTGCTCACAGTGATTGCTTTAGTGAAGCGTTTTCCTGAATGACCTTTAAAGGTTATTCTTCTGTTGTCCATTCTATTTTTACCGGAACACGATCTCTAAAATTCTCACGATGTCGACTATTATCAAACCCTCTGATCCTTAATTCATGTTGTTTACTAGCCTATGCTGATTTCTATTACTCCAGGGGGGGTCTAACTGAGCCTTCTGGTAATTACGTTAGACTCACCAACTCTTTTCTCGAAATGAGGATATGACTTTTGGCCTATACTCTTTTATTATCTCAAGGCTTGTAACCTCTTGTCTTTTCCTTCACTTGACTATAGACTCTGTCATTCTATCATATTTTGATTTACCGTTACCACCCTTTTATCACATCTTACTCGTAATGCTTCATTTACTCTCTTCTTATTCTCTTGCTAATACCTTTGTTCATTAGCTTATTCTAAAAACTTCAACGAAATATTCTTTCACTTCTATCTCCCCTTGCTTCATCTCAGTGGCTCTTCGGGTCGCCTACTATTCTTTTCTTTACAAGGGGCGGGAGTCATACTAAAATAAATATTTATCCCGTCTAGGATGCCAATACATGTCTTTTGATATTTTTGAATGTTTTAGTATTCATATCTTACTTTACTATTCTAGAGTGCACCATCTGGTTTGCACGAACTAATAGGGCCTCAAACATGGCCACGTCGTCAAGAATTCTCTCTCTTTTAGTGCCCTTACCTGCTGTTGTATTAGCCCTATGGCTAGCTGTAATTTTTCAAATTGCAAGCATCTTTATAATTAGCAAATATAAGCCTTGGCTCAAACTCTTATGACTTAGCTCTATAGTACGATGTGGATTTGAAAGAAATGTAACATAGTCCTAAATGCCTTGTAGCTTCCTGTTTATATAATGTGGTGCACAACACATCTATAAACAAGGATCTACTAGACATGGCTTGTAGACTCCCTATGAAAGAACTGCTCTGATACCAAGTTTGTCACGCCCCAAACCTGAAGAGGCGTGGCCGACACCCGGTTCCATACTCGGCCCGAGCGTACCACTCTGTAACTGTAAACTCTGGAGGGGTGACCCTCAACCTAGGCCGATGAGGCCATATTCTGAATCATCTGAAAATAACGTCTCTCTCATCTGGGGGTAAACATACCCAAAAGCTAATATATATAATTGTGCAGGCCGACAAAGCCGCCATAAACATCTACTGATATAGAAAATATACAGGACTCGTCTACAAGCCTCTAGAGATAACTGAACTGTACCATGGTCGGGACAAGGCCTCGACCTACCCATCAAACCTGTATATATAAAATAGACTCCAAGGTCTAGACCTGGTAACTCCAAGGAATTGGAGATTACCAACCAAGCTGATGTTTGACTCTTGCAGCTGGGAGGGTCTGTCTAAGTGTCAATGAGGAACTGCAGACATGAAATGCAGTGTCCCCAGCAAAAGGGACATTAGTACGAAATAATGTACTGAGTATGTAAGGCAACGGAATAACTAAAAGCTGAAACTGTACTGATAATATAATAACTGAAAGTAAGTAGGAGTCTTAGATAATCTGAAGATATGCTTACCTGCTGATACTGACTCGACTCTCTCAATACAATAAGTAAAAAAGTTGTCCGGGCTTATAAGGCTCGGTATGTGTAACTGCTCTGCCGTAGTAGGCTCCCTCATAAATGCTCGACCATACTAGGCTCTGTATTTCGGCCATTCTAGGCTCGCCCATAGGCGCTCGGTCACAGTAGGCTCAGTATATAACTTAACTTCTGATCAGAGGTTACCCAATAAGGGCATGCCCATCGATTATAGCTCGATAGGGGTGAAAATACTGTAGTACAATATATATAGACTCTTTGCTATCTTGGCTGACAAAAGACAAGACTAAACTTAATATGAAGTCCCGATAAGGGAGAATGATATAACTTATGAGACTAGGAAAATGTACATAAATTCAGGAATATGAACTTCTCTTTATGTCTCGTTGTGAGCACGTGATTTTTGCCCTATATATGAATAATTCCCAAAATCCCAAACAAAATAATTTGTCTTGATTTTTACAATTTTTGTGCATCTTGGTGTCATTTTCTGATAATTGTTGCATTTTATTTGCGCATATTAATAAAATACAAAATATGCATTTTGGCATTTAGGCTTTAGTTTTACATTTTTAGTATCCATTAGGGTTTAAGTTGTTTAGAACAAAACATGAAAATCACAAAATTAGTTCACTTTTGCATTTGTCATGAAATAGTTTTTTTATTATTTAAAACAATTTTTAGGAATTGATTAATCTTTGTTTTGAAATTATTAGGATTTCCTGTTAGTTTTACATCTTTATAAAAATTAGAAAAAATTGTAAAAAATGGAAAAAAAGAAAACAAAAAGGAAATAAAAATATATAATGGAGTTGAACTTGTGTGAAATCCGCAAGTTTGGGCCAAATTAAAGAAATACTTCAGGCCCAAACGCTTTAACCCGTTGCAACCAGTCCAGCCCAAACCCCCAACCCGGTCCGGTCCCCAGTAAGTCCAAACGACGTCGTTTCCCCAGCATCTAACCACGACCGTTGGATCTCATCAATCCAACGGTCCGGAACTAACGAGGATCCCAGTATATAAGTGTCCAAACCGTCCCCCCCCCCACCCCCCATTTCCATCGTCTTCTTCACCCTACCCCTTCCCCCTAACCCTAATCCGCGCCGCCCTCAAAATCCCTGCCGGCGGTAAACGTGAACTACGCCGTTCACCCTGAAATTAACACCATGGGTTCCCCTCACCCTCCTCTTGCTACTACACCCGATGGTTTGCCTCGAATAAGGCCGGAACTCTTCGAATCTTGATTTGAA